TCTTCTCTTGGTCAATCTCTGCACCAACAGATTCGAAAACCTTCTTCAGATCAGCGACGGATGGATTCTCATTGCCACTGAGTTTAGCAAGGAGGTAGGCCGCAACAACCTTCATCGTTCTCTCTCTCTTTTTTTTCCTTGAAAAAAATGAAAGAAGCAAATCGACTGCGATTAGGGTTTTCGTGATATTTTCGCTATTTAAGGGGAGATTAGGGTTTTTTGCACGTACCAAAGAAAAAGTCACGTGGGCTACACGAAATCTTTCCAAATTTGTTAATGGGCTTACTACATAATAAAAAACTAGCCCATTTATATTATCCATAGTCTCATGAATTATTAAATTGGAGGAGAGAGACCAATGCACATTTCCCTCATTTAATTATGTTATTCGTCTATCTTATTTTTTATTTGGATATTCTTTTTGCATTAAAATTAGATGAGACAAGAAGGCCCAAAATGTTGAACCACAAGTGATGGATGATACGTAAAGCCCAAGTTTATAAAAGCCTAAAGTGAGTGATGGAGATTTAGTTATACGATCAAAACAGATTCATTAGGTTATTTATTTATAACTTATTGCTTGCTCTCAACGGACTCTTCCCGGAAAATTACATAAACTTGTTTTCATCTTTCCATGGCCAGTTTCTAGCAAGGAATCGACCGTCAAATCTAATTAATGGGTTGGTTTTGTGTGGCTCTCCCTTATCTAATGTTTTTATAGTGTTCACATACTTGGCTCGTTGATTTTAACTTTAGTGTTTTTTGCTGCTCTTGTTTTAGGTAAGCGAAACCCGGAAGATGATTTGGAGACCAAACAGGTTCTCAAGAAACATAAGGAGAAGGTAACCCTAATATGGTCGGATTCCTTTTTTTCTTTCAGAAGAATTTACTTTATAACATTGTCTTCTAATGGCTACTCATGTATGTTACAGGAGGAAACACGAAAGGACTTGCTGATGATAGTCTCCAGCACAAGTCTGACCAGACTAATTTTATCTCAGTGAAGGTATAATTTTCTTAAGAATTTTAAATATTGTACTGTTTTTTAGATATTTTGTACAAGTTTATGTTCAATGTCTACTCAATTCAACAGGAGACAGTGGAGGGACTTGATGACATTCCCGATTTTGTTGAGGTACCTTGTTCTTAAAATCTGTATCTTCAGATGAGGCTACTTTTCGTTATTATTTGCAATTTAAGTTCCAAAAAAAAATAACAGTTCTTTGAGTCTTGCCCTAACACAAACTACTTGGCTGTTAAATTCAGGCAACAATAAAGACACTCTTTGTTACCCGTCTCTCTCGCAAAACTACAATATCAGACATGTAAGCAGCACCACCTTCAATTCCCACTTTCCTTCTCTAGGCAAGACTGATATTTTACCCTCCACTTTTACAGCATCGATTTCTTCAATGATGTTGCACAAGTTGTTCATGTTCGACTTATTGTAAACCACAAGGGCAAGCATTCGGGCTATGGCTTTGTTGAGTTTGCTTCTGCTAACCAAGCTAAGAAGGTGAGACTAAAAATTTTAACTAGTCATTTCAATAGTAGTTATTTGAAAGTTGGTTTTGCTGATTGAATCTTTTATACTCTAGGCGCTGGAAAAGAAGTCCGGTGAATATATGCACGGTCATCGGATATTTCTTCATTTGGCTAATTATAAGAAACCTGCATACTTTTCTACCCAAGTAATTAAATTGATAACTCTGGTTGTAACTTAATTGCTAAAGTTTTGATGCCATCACAGAAGACTTAACGCTTTTATTTTTTTACTTAGGTATTGCATTGATCACAAGGTTTGGTAAGGGCTTTTCAAACTACTTGCCTCTTTGAGTTTGTTACATTGGGTGGAGTTTTGGGTATACATGGAGAGAGATCACTAGCTAGGGTTTTGATATTCCAGGTATGATAACTACCTTGGACGAGAAAGCTTTCTGATAGAAGATGATGAGGCAGAGGAAGGACTTGATGACAGAGAAAGCCTTCTAATAGAAGAAGATGAGGCAGAGGAAGGACTTGATGACATTCCCAACTTTGTTGCCAATCGGAGTAAGGTACTTGTTCTTATTATCTTCGAAATAACCTGAGTGAAAATGTTTTTATGAATTATGCTTCCATGTTTTTTATCGATGGGACTATTTGTATAAGTCTACAATCTTCTGATTGTAAGCCTAAACTGTTTTCATTTCATTATGGGGATGAATCTTTAGATGAGCTTACTTTTTGTTTGTATGCAATTTAAGTCCTTTTCTCCTTGGAGTCGTGCTAACTAACACACTTGGCTTTTAATCTCAGAAAGTACTCTTTGTTGCCAATCTCTCTCCCCAGACTAAAATCTCAGATATGTAAGCGGTGATGACTGATATTTTATCAAGTCCTTTTGTTCTCAGAGCAAGTTTCCCATGACTGATATTTTATCCTCCACTTATGCAGCAAAGGTTTATTCAAATATTTTGGAGTTGTTAGTGTTCGTCTTATCGTAAACAACAAGGGTAAGCATCTGGGCTATGGCTTTGTTGAGTTTGCTTCTGCTTACCGCGCAAACAAGGTGAGAGTAGTTTTAATTGTAGTGATGATGAAAAGTATATAACTAGTCATTTGAAACTTAGTTATTTGAAAGCACTATATGGCTGATTAAATCTTTTTTTACTGTAGGCGCTGAAAAAGAAGAACGGCGAATATTTGCATGATCGTCAGATTTATTTGATGAAAGAACATGATGAAACTCCCGATTATATTGAGGTACCTCTTCTATTTTTTTTTTTGTTTTTTTAATACAATTTAAGTCCTTTTCTCCTTAGAGTTGTCGTGCTAACATACTTGGCTGGTAAATTCAGGCAGTTGCCGTAGCGAAAAAGACACTCTTTGTTTCCCATCTCTCTCCCAAACTGAAATATCAGATAGTAAGAAGCATCTTTAATTTCCTCTTTTGCTCTTGGAGCAAGTTTTATCATGACCAATATTATATCCTCCATTTTTACAGCATCAATTTCTTCAAAGATGTTGGAGAAGTCGTTCATGTTCGACTTACTTTAAACAACAAAGGCAGGCATGTGGGCTATGGTTTTGTTGAGTTTGCTTCTGCTGACGAAGCAGAGAAGGTGAGAGTAGTTTATAGTAATGATGAAAATAGGCAAGTAGTTATATTAAAGTACGATTGCTGATTAAATCTTTTATACTGTAGGCGCTGGAAAAGAAGATCGGTGAATCTTTGCATGATCGCAAGATTGTTCGTCGAGTGGTTGACGCTCCATACCGTCCACCCAAGTAAATTGATTTTCCATGTTATGGAGACTTGTTTTTGTAATACTGGTTGTAACTTATTGTTAGAGTTTTGATGCCATTATGGAAGACTCTTAACACTATTATTTTTGTTGGTTAGGTATTGCGTTGATCACAAGGTTTGGTAAGGGATTTAACTTTTGCATCTTGAGTTTTTTTAACTTATCGAGAGTATATTGGGTGAAGTTTTTGGTATACATGGAGTGATCACTAGGGTTTTTGATGTTCCAGGTACGATAACTACCTTCGACGAGAAGGCCTTTTAATGGAAGAAAATGAGGCAGTGAAAGGACTTGATGAACTCCCGATTTTGTTGAGGTACATGTTCTTATTTTCTTCAAAATATGTCAGGCTCAGAACAAACGCTTACCGTTTCATAACACATATTTTGCCATAAAGTCCTTTTTGTTGTTATGCAATTTAAGTCCTTTTCTACTTTGAGTTGTGCTAACAACTTGGCTGTTAAATATAATTCAGCCATTTGCGGTAACAAAAAAGACGCTCTTTGCTTCCAATCTCTCTCACTTAACTAAAATATCAGATATGTAAGTCGCACCTTAAATATAATATCCACTTTTCTTACAGGAGCTTGTTTTTCATGACTCTATCTTCCATTTTTACAGCATCAGTTTCTTCAAAGATGTTGGAGAAGTTGTTCGTGTTCGACTTATTGTAGACCACATGGGTAAGCCTATGGGATGTGGCTTTATTGAGTTTGCTTCTGCTGAAGAAGCAGAGAAGGTAAGAGTAGTTTTATAGTAATGATGAAAAATAGTCATTTGAAAGTATGATTGCTGCTGATTAAACCTTTGATACTGTAGGCTCTGGAAAGGAAGAATGGTGATCGTTTGCGCTTTAGTAAGATTTGTCTTGACGTGGCTGAGATAGCTCCGTACCCTCTCCGACTCAAGTAAATTGGTTTCTTTAACTTGGTGCTATAGTTCTGATGTCATTACAGAAAATTATATAAAGCTATTATTCTTTGTTGGTTAGGTACACCTTGCAGAGAAGCTTTGGTAAGGGATTTATCTATTTTGCCTTAAGAGTTTTGTTATCATTGGGTTGGGTGACGTTATTTGGTATACATGGAGAGATCACAAGGGAGGGTTTTTTGATATATTCCAGGTATGAAGACAAACTTCGAGGAGGAAGCCTTGATTTGGAGACCAAACCGAAACTGGTACCTAAGTTCTGCGGTAAGAGGATTATCTTCTCTAACGACTGACTTAAGCCTCGATTGGAGATTAAACCTAAGAAGATTATCTTCTCTTACGAGGACGACTGATAGAAGAAGCTCTTTGGTGTTTCTAAGTTGTGATCCAATGCAATGTTTTTTTTTTTATTACTTCGGTTTTTCGTATTTGAGTCAAGTTTTGTCTGGAGGTACGTTAAAATATGCTTAATGAGGTTTTGGTGTTAAATCATTATCTGCCTTCATTCTTACATAAGTAAGAGAGCCGTATACGACTTGAACTGATTTGGTTGACAAAGCCATAGTCTCCTGAGGGACACATTTACTTTTCTCATATTTAGTCTCAACTTGATATCATAGTGAAAAGGAGAAGTTGTATCTCAAGACCGAGACATTAGCTTGACGATCCCTTTGTACATAGATAAAAATTCGTAAGTTTGTACTGAAATGATACAAATTATTTACCTCTCCAAAATAATATTCTCATCACAACCAAAATTCTTTTATATCTTTCATTATTCTAAATGAAAAGATTTGTTTATTTTTGAAGTTAAAAACTTAGAAGGGAGCTTGAGAAACTCAAAAGAGCAATAACACAGTGTAGTTAGAAAGAAGCAAAAGAATCAAACATGTCTCTGATTTAGTCGTTAAACATTGTCGGTAAAGAAAGAAATCTTACCTATCAAGTAACATCCAATTAGAATTTTACCAAGCACCCAATCACAAGACATGGATGTTGCATTTGGATGAGCGTTAGGAAGAGCAAGAAGAGCATTTGTGAGTTGCAACTTGTTCTCTATCTCATCACTAATGTTCACTTTCATCTCTTCAAGATTCTCCATTTCTCGCAAAAAGCATTTCACTTGCTTCAGTTCTCCAAGTCTTCCTTTGTAAACCTTGTATCTCAACCACCTTCACCACATTTCCACCATCAATTTTAACCCCACAATCGCTTACACCGCACAAACCCTTAAGGACCAGAGTTTCTAGCTTTGGAGATTTTTCAATCACATTGCAAAGCAATTTCCAATATTCTTCCTTATTACCCTCAAAATGTAGAGTAGCCAAGTTCTTAAACAATGGAATCTCATCAAGATCAAGGCATTCATAAATCACCTGCAACACATCAAAGCAACAACCAAATCATCAAACAAGACAAAGAAAGAAAGAAAAAGGAAATGAAATACATTGAGATTGAGATAGACATACCTCAACAGTAGAAGAAGAGAGGTAAAGGATTTGAACATTGGAGATAGAATTCATGATTTTTAAACAGGGTTCATGTTCACTACCCCATCTCCCACACCGTGCGAAAACAAGATTAATGCGGGCTTCTAAAAGATAATTGAAGTGATTCTCCGATTCATAGAGACAGTTAGATAATCAGAGTAGTCTAGGTAAACAAGATTTGGTGTATAGATTGACAAAACGCGAGAGGCCTGAACATCATTATTGTAGCAACAGTGAGTTTCTTGATATTGTTGTGGCCTAAATAATGAGGTGCTGGAGGAATGTTGAATTCGCGATCTCTATCTTCAATGTAAATGTGATGTATGTATAATTCTTCGAGCTCAGGGCAACCATCAAACATCACATCACATATAGCATCATCTGAAAACCAAACTGTGTGGAGGAAGAGACTCTTAAGCAGGGGAAGACCAACGTACTCCAAAGGAGCCATACCAAGACAAAGCTCTGTTCCTAAAGTGAGCTTGACCAATGTGTTGTTAATGAAGACGGTGTTAGGAAGAAGACGTGGTGGCTCGTACATCAAAGGCATATATATGCGAAGATCAAGATCCGAAACGCCTTTTTCCATTGCCTTTGATATCCATCTGGTGGTAAGACTCATGCGTTGAACATCATCATCTTCATAATTTAGTGAGAATTTCTTTAAGGAATTGTTGTTACAACCTGAAAGTGTTTTATCAACGAAATTTCTGAAGCTATTATGAACAACAGATTCTTCTTCAGTCTGTCTCTCGGGATAGAGTAAATCAGAGTCGTCTAGATAGAGAGATGGGCAGAGAAGATTCATGAGTGGAAACAGAGTCCTCCATCTTTTGGAGAGGATTGAGGTAGAAGCAGCTCGTTTAGTAGGAAGAAAGGATAAGATATGAGCAAGTATATCATCTGGAAGAGAGCTGATTGAATCTATAGAACCTGATGATGACAATACTCTTTTCGTCTCCATAATTCACCTTCACTTGATACCCAAATTGATTCAACGGCAAGCAACGAAATAGGTAACAATTTAGGGTTCTAATTAATTTATCGAGTTATTAATTTATAGATATACTGATATACTAATTACCTCGAAAACTAAATTTGGGACTAAATAAATGTATTGATTTATCGAGGTATTAATTTATCAAATATTAATTTATAGAGGTCCCAAATTTAGTTTTCGAGGTAATTTTGTCCAAAAAAAAAAAATGTATAAATATATTGTGCTAAGTTTAACATTTTCACCAAATTCAATATTGATTATTGTTTTCGAATAAATATAATTACCTATTTGAAACAATATTATACTATTCGATAGAAAACCCAAAACCATGAGAATGAAATCAATGGCATGAATGAAACATCTTTACAGGATAAATGCTATGTTTATTCTATTTAACTTCATCATTTTTATATATTCAAACATAGTTATGGAAACTCTCTAGACCCCAATCGATTCTTTTCCTCCTTCTTTGTGTTCAATTTTTTATCAATACCTTTTTGTAAAACACTTGTCATTTACCTAACAAAATCTTGTTGCTTATACCATTTAGCATATTTACTCTACACATTTTTAATCTTTTTTCCCTATAGTTGCTTATAGATTATTGGGTCTCCTGTCATTTACACTAATAACTGCATGGTAAGCTTCTACATTTAACTAAAGAATTTTGTTGAAATGCTTTTTTTTTTCTTTCTTTTTCTTTGTTTGCTGGCGCATTATTGTTCTGTAAAATAAGATATTTCATATTCCTTGGAAAGATATTTTAGATAAGCCTTATAATTTATCTTCTCATAATTTAACTTTCTTAAATGAAAAAATAAGGAAAGGCTCTAAGCATCCGTTGACGAAGCTGCGTCTTCTCTGATTCAAGTCTCATAATCTCAGTCATCGACACCAATGTTCTTCACCTTAATTTAATGGCTACTTCTTTCTCTTCTTGCAATTGGGTATACGACGTCTTCCCAAGTTTCAGTGGAGAAGATGTCCGCAAAACATTTCTCAGCCACCTTCAATTGGTACTAGATCGCAAACTAATCACGAGTTTCAAAGATAATGAGATCGAGAGAAGCCAATCAATCGCTCCTGAGCTTGTCCAAGGGATTAAGGATTCAAGGATTGCTATCGTGATCTTCTCCAAAAACTACGCCTCTTCAAGCTGGTGTTTGAACGAGCTTCTAGAGATTGTGTCTTGCAAAGAAGACAAGGGTCAACTAGTGATACCCATTTTCTACGCTTTGGATCCTACTCATGTCAGGAAACAGACCGGTGATTTTGGAAAAGCCTTTGAAAGGACTTGCAAGAACAAAACAGAGGATGAGAAAAATATTTGGAGGGTAGCTTTAACTCATGTGGCTAACATTCTTGGATATCATTCTGAGCAATGGTACGACGGACCCTTGTTATATTTTGACTAGTGTTACTTGTTTGTGCATTGATCTTTCTCCTTCTTGTTATAGGAATAATGAAGCAAAAATGATTGAAGAAATCGCCAATGATGTTTTGTGTAAGCTGAATTTAGTTCCATCATCCAAAGATTTTGATGACTTTGTTGGCATAGAAGATCACCTAAAAGACATGAGTTCGTTGTTGTGTTTGGAATCCATGGAAGTGAGAATGGTTGGGATTTGGGGTCCTTCTGGAATTGGCAAAACTACTATTGCAAGAGCGTTATTTGCGCGACTCTCTCGTCACTTCCAATGTAGTGTTTATATTGACAGAGCCTTTGCATCTAAGAGTATGGAAAGTTATAGTAGAGCCAACCCGGACGACTATAACATGAAGTTGCATTTGCAAGAAAAGTTTCTATCTACAATTTTAGGGAAAGAGAATATAAAGATAGATCATTTAGGTGCACTGGGAGAGAGGCTAAAACACCAGAAAGTTCTTTTATTTATTGATGATTTAAATGAACAAGTGGTGCTAAACGCCTTGGCGGGTCAAACTCAGTGGTTTGGAAGTGGGAGCAGAATCATTGTGGTTACAAATGATAAGCATCTTCTAATATCCCATGGGATTGAAAATATATACCAGGTTTGTCTCCCATCTGAAGAACTCGGCCTTGAGATGTTATGTCGATATGCCTTTAGGCAAAACACTCCACCTGATGGCTTCAAGAAGATGGCAGTTGAAGTTGTGAGGCATGCAGGTCTTCTTCCTTTGGGTCTTAACGTTCTAGGTTCGTATTTGCGGGGGAGGGACAAAAGGTATTGGATGAATATGCTACCGAGGCTCCGAAAAGGTTTAGATGGAAAAATACTGAAGGCACTAAGAGTCGGCTATGATGGGTTAGATAACAAAAAAGATGAAGCTATATTTCGTCATATCGCATGTCTCTTCAATTTTGAGAAAGTCAGTGACATCAGGCTGCTTCTCGCGGATAGTGACTTGAATTTTAATATTGGTCTTGAAAACTTAGTGGATAAGTCCCTCATTCATGTAAGATCAAATATTGTGGAGATGCATTGTTTGCTACAAGAAATGGGTAGGGAAATCGTCCGAGCACAGTCCGATGAGGCTAGAGAACGGGAATTCCTTATGGATTCAGAGGATATATGCGATGTACTAGATGATAACATTGTAAGTATTTTCATACTCTTTTTCATATAACTAGCTGTATAAGATTGAAAGCATGTGATTTGATTAATGTGGTATTAAAGCTAATGATATTCCCTTACTTGTTGTCGAATTTTATATTTCTCAGGGTACAAAAAGGATGTTAGGTATATCACTAGATATAGATGAGATTGATCATGAGCTGAATGTACATGAGAAAGCATTTCAAGGGATGCGTAATCTTCGTTTTCTAAATATTTACACTAGAACTTTGATGTCGGGCAAAAAAATCAGATTGCACTTACCCGAAAATTTTGACTATTTGCCGCCTAAGCTGAAACTATTGTGTTGGGACAGATACCCAATGAGATGTCTGCCTTCTAGCTTTCGTCCTGAAAACCTCGTTAAGCTCAGAATGCAAGAGAGCGAGCTTGAGAAGTTGTGGGAAGGAGTTGGGGTAAGTTTTTAGAATAAAATGACAAATATTATGAGAAGAAATCTTATGTTCCTTTTTGGTTGACAATCTTTGCACTTGGTATATGACTTCTACTTTACTTTATTGTTTGTTTTGTTTCTTGGGTTCAGTCGCTTACATGCCTGAAAGACATGGATTTGGAGAAATCTAAAAACCTGAAAGAAATCCCAGATCTTTCTATGGCGATCAATCTCAAGACACTTAATCTAAAGTATTGCTCGAGTTTGGTGAAGATTTCTTCCTCTGTTCAGAATCTCAATAAACTGACAAAGTTAAACATGGAAGGATGCACAAATTTGGAGACTCTTCCAGCTGGCATCAACCTTAAATCTCTTCACCGCTTGGATCTCAGGGGATGCTCGCGTTTGAGGAGGTTTCCTGATATCTCAAGCAATATCTCAGTGCTTTTTCTTGACAAAACATCAATTGAAGAATTCCCCTCTAACTTGCATCTTAAGAAACTCTTTGATCTTAGCATGCAACAAATGAATAGTGAGAAACTATGGGAAGGAGTGCAGGTATACTTTCTTTTAATTTGCTATTTACTATTATTTGGAGAAGTAAAATCATTTGAGATTTGAATTTAGCATTTCTAAGTTGTTTTTGATTCAGCCGCTTACTTGCCTCATGAAGATGTTGTCTCCTCCTTTGGCAAAAAATTTCAACACACTGTATCTCTCAGATATCCCAAGTTTGGTGGAGCTTCCTTCCGCTATTCAGAATCTCAAAAAACTTACGGATTTGAGCATTAGAAGATGCACAAATTTGGAGTCTCTTCTCACTGGTGCTAACTTCAAATATCTCGATTACCTTGATCTCAGTGGATGTTCAAAGTTGAAGAGTTTTCCTGATATATCAAACACCATCTCATGTCTCTGTCTAAACCAAACAGGGATCGAGGAAGTTCCTTTGTGGATTGAGAACTTTGTTAGGCTCACATACCTAACTATGGTGGAGTGCAACAAGTTGAAATATGTATCCCTAAATCTATCTAAGCTAAAACATCTTGACAAGGCTGACTTTTCAGACTGTGGGGCATTGACTGAAGTTAGCTGGTGCAACAGTACAAGTTTGGTGGCGGCGACAGCAGATAATATCCAGCTTAAGTTACCAGTGCCCGAGGAGGCATCCTCTTCCCTTTGTGTCCCAAAATCTGTGGTTAGATTCATGAACTGCTTTAAATTGGATCAAGAAGCTCTCCTTCAACAAGAACCGGTTTTCAAGCACTTGATCTTGGCAGGTGAAGAAGTGCCTGCGTATTTTAATCACCGAGCTTCTGGAAACTCCTTGGCCATCCCTCTCGTTCAGACCTCTATCTCTCAGGATTTTTTAAGATTCAGGGCTTGCGCCTTGGTTGATGTTAAATCTATGTCCACGCCTGGTAGAGTAGATATCCAGGTATCTTGTCGGTTTAGAGGCAGTCTCAAGAACCATTTTGATTCTGTTGATCAGTCACATACTCTAGTGGCATTTCACAAGGCTAGTCATCTGCTTATATTCGACTGTCAGTTCGCTCTGAACAACGATAGTAATCCTCTGAACTACGATCATATGGATATAAAGTTTCATCTCACTAGTGACTCTGTGAGCAGAATAAATGCATGTGGTATACGACTCTCTGAGGACTTTACATCGCAGAAACACCTAAATGATCCAAGTATTATTCTACATGTTTGTGAAGCCGATGAAAGCAAGCTGGATAATGATAGAAGCCATGGCCTTGAGACTGAACACGGTGAAGAGTGTAGAGATAGCAATGTCGAGACAGTGGTAAGCAGGAAGCGAATCAAGGTAATTAAGCATTGGTCATGAATTGAACTGAAAAATACATCTCTCACAACTATTTTCTTAAGATGAATCAAAACTTCTTTTAATATAGATCACTGCGTTGTTTTTGCAGTTATTGTGAAGAACAAGTCAAGAATGTGTTGCTTTGCTCAGCAGCCAAAGCAAGCGGATCACAGGATGTCACTTTGAATCTCATTCGATTTGGTTTTTCTTTGTGCATATAAAAAGTCATGCATGACATATGGTTTGCGACAACTTCATCTCCAGAGAGTCAGTGTTTTGTAATGAAAGGTGTGACCGAAGCTGTTCAAGAAACAGAGGAGACAGAGAATTTTAATGTCGCAATCTTCGAATTTGAAATCTCTACCTTCAATGTAAATGCTATGTATGTATAATTCTTCTAGCTCAGGGCAACCATGAATCATCACTTCACACAAATCATGATCTGAAAACCAAACTGTGTGGAGGAAGAGACTCTTAAACTATTTTATTTTTTTTTCACAAAATACACTTATATTAACTCAGATCTTTTTAGATGATCATCATCGTAAGACATTGGGTATCGGAAATATCAAATATGGAACAAGCCTTAAAATTTACTCTGTTTTGCAAGTACTAGTTAGCAAGAAAAAATCTGTCGAAAACAAATCATATCAAATCATTAATTACCGTTATTAATTGATCTCATTATACTAAAGTAAATATTTCCTTTATTAATTAATGAGAGAGAGAGAACCAAATATTTCCTTTTTATCAAACTCTCAACGGCTAATTATGCGCAAATCTATACAAAATATGGAAATCAAATCTTTACTCGTGTTTTCCTTTTTCGTACTGATGAGCGAGAGTAAAAAATAGTTCTAATCTATAAATATATGATTCCACTCTCTAAACCTAATTCATTAGTTTCACTATCTAAAATTTCTTTCATTCTTCTTCGTCTTCGTGCTTTCTCTTCACTTTGAACGTGAGAAAAACAGAGAGATTTTCTTCGAAATCAACAAGAAGATGGCTATGCGATCTTTACCTTCTTCCTCTTCTTCTTCATCTTATTCACTCGCTTCTACAAGTTTGAGTAATAGACTGGAGACCATCTTCAAGAAAGCTTCCGAGCTTTGCACTCTCTGTGATATCAAAGCCTGTGTCATCTATTACGGACCAGACGGAGAACTTAAGACATGGCCTAAGGAGCGGGAGAAAGTGAGAGACATTGCTCTTAGGTATAGTCAATTAAAGAAGCCTTGAGACGCAAGAAAAGCGTTAATCTTAATGACTTCCTAAACAAGAAAAAGAATAAGGAGACGAAGAATCCGAACAAAAAGAGGAAGACGAGTCTGAAGAAAGTGAATGAATTAAAGTATCCAATCGCTGATCATTACTCTCCCGACCAAGTTTCTCAACTGATTCAGTCTTTAGAACTTAATGTCTCTAAAGTCCAAGAAAGGCTTCGTTTTGTTGAGTCGCAGAAACACAAGGAGACAAAACCGGATCATCAGAGTTTAGCATCTTCCTCTCTGAATCAGCAGACCCAATCTTTGAACCCTAGCCAGTTCTCGCTATTTATGTATAACCATGGAGATAATACTCTCTCTCAAATCCCAGTCTCTGCATCAAATTTCAATCAGGATTTCTCAGCGTTACTTCAACAATCTGAGTTTAAGAATCAGTTAGTGAAGCAGGAGCTTTGTGGTTATGATCAGAACATGTGTATGAGTAACATTACCAACAACAGTTTCCAACATCCTTGCGTCTCAAACAAAGAACATTACTCGGCGGTACAAGAATCTGTAAATAACTATGAGTTGAATCAGTTGATGCAGAAGGAGCTTTATGGTTGTGATCAGAAGCTAAGTAACATCAATAGCAACAATTTTCAACATCCTTGCGTCTCAAACACACAACATAACTCGGCGGTACAAGAATCTTTGGATAACTATGGGTTGAATCAGTTGATGCAGCATGAACTTTACGGTTTTGATCAGAACTTGTGTACGAGTGATATTACCAACAGCAACGTTCCAAATCCTAGCCTCTCATATGAGTTAGGTTCTGATTTTCATGACTCTTGTGGTAATATGGTAGGTAACACTAGCTTCTCTCAAGATATGTGTTCAAGCTATGTTTATAACTTTGATGAGAGCAGTCTACTTCAGACATCTACTCTACCATACCTCTCCACCGTTCCTAACAGTTATCTTCTATCCGGCAACTCAAGTTGAAGCAATTACCTCCTTAAAAGTCAATGATGAAGCTGTTTATGCATTAGTTTCTATTTTTGAGTATTGGAAAAACAGATGTAATTGTTTATTACCTCTTTTAGTTTTTATTATGAATAGTAAACATTTTGTTTTGTATGTGTTGTTCTCGGTCTATAATGTATTCAGCTAAACAAATCAAGCTCAATAATAATATACTTAGAACCAATATGATCTATTCCTAACATTTATCTACACATAATCAACACAAACACATTCTTCTTCCTATTTTGCTATACATGAATGAATCAGTTCCACCGACACAAACCACACCATTTCGGAGCTCAACAAATCTGCTTCGCTCAATATCAGGAGGTTCAGCTACAAAGAGAACAGTCGACCTGTCACCTTTCACAGCTTTCCATATATACCTGCCCTGGAAGAGCTAAAACTAGTCAACTTAAATATCCAAAAACTGTCAGATGGGATTGGTCACTTGGAATTCTTAGAAAAACTGGATCTCAGCGGAAACGATTTTGAGAACTTACCAGAAGTTATGAATAGACTTGCCCGGTTGAAAACTCTCTGTCTTCGAAACTGCAGCAAACTGAAGGAATTGCCAGAGCTAACTCAGGTGCAGTCACTCACTCTTTCCAACTGTAGGAGCCTCAGATCATTGGTAAAACTCTCTGATGCAAGTCAAGATCCGGGCATATACTGTTTGCTTGAGCTTTGCCTTGACAACTGCAAAAATGTGAAGTCATTGTCAGATCAGCTTAGTCACTTCACCAAGTTGACATATTTAGATCTCAGCAGCCATGACTTTAAGACACTATCATCAAGTATCAGAGATCTTACCTCATTGGTAACTCTCTGCCTCAATAACTGCAAGAAACTCAAATCACTGGAAGAACTTCCACTGAGCCTCCAGTTTCTAGATGCACAGGGTTGTGATTCTCTTGAAGCTGATGCTTTAGAACATTTTATAGAGAGACTAAACAAAGAGGTGAATATTCTGCTCTTGACCCATCTCTCTACTGTGGTTTATGTAGTCTCTTTATCATCTTCCTTCTTTTCTAGGTACCAGCACAGCCGTGTAGTGCTCGCTTCCAAGAAACGGAGATGCCGAGTTACGAACGGGATCACCAAGCCACAAAAAGTCGCCTACCAAAGTTCCTATGCTGCTCACATTTCTAGTCATTCCTACATGTCATGCTTATGATTGTTTTCAGTATTGAGTCAAGTGAAGTAACAGATTAGAGAGAATGAAGCATTAGTATCTGATTGTTGTTGTTTATCTATACTCAGTAGCTGAGTAATAGACTCAAACTTCAATCATCATCCATAGATACATAACTAAAAGCCAATCTTATCTATTTTTGATTTCTCACTAGGCATAACACATTCACTTTTGCTAAATATGAATCAGTTCCATAGCCAATATCAATCAAACTCGTCTCTGATCTTGACCCAATTCATTGAAACCTTCTAATAGCAACAAAGAAGGTGTTTATTCACAGTGCATCAGTGGTTTTCTATCAGATAGTTCCATGCTTTGTGCCTATTCGATTAACTATCCGAATAATGCACTTGATCAATTTCATAGAATGGTGTTCGACTGTTGGTCAAAGAATCATATCCTTCAAAGCCGACTATTCACGCCATTTTATATGCATGCAATGCAGGAGGATTCTTGTGTATCAGAGTCTATATATTGGTTATTGTCCCGGTTTATCTTTCTCATTTGGTTAACCATATTCTTGGTTTAGATGTTTGTATTTAAGGAACATTCTATGTTTATTTCCAACTTAATGAAGCATAATCATAATTAAAAAGGGAAGTTTGTTAGATCTGAAATGGTATCAGAGCAATTTTTCTTCAAGCTTTTCTTCCTCAAGCTTCATTCATCTTCCGCAAACTCAAATCATCCTCCATTTTTCGTTTGTTTCTCTTGAATCCATCATCTTCTTCTTCTCCGATTCATTATCGTCGTTTTCATCGGAGATTTTCTTTCTTCTTCATCGTTTTCTTGCTTTTCCGATTGTGTTTCATTCCAATCGCGTTTTCTACTTCGATTTTACTTTCTGCAGCTGAATCTAGCTCCGATTTCGTCTCGCCATGTCTAATCAAGCTACTCCGACCACCGATCCTTACTCAAATCCTCTATTTCTTCACGCGGCTGACAACTCCGGTGTTAATCTTGTTCTCGACAAGCTTATCGGTGAATCCAACTATCACACTTGGCGTCGTTGTATCATCAAAGCTCTCAACGCGAAGAATAAGCTCGGATTCATCTATGGCACTGTTATTAAACCTCCGGAGAGTCACAATGATTACGGATCGTGGACTCGCTGCAACGATATGGTATGTACTTGGATTACGAACTCTGTCTCGAAGGATCTAGGTTCTAGCACGGTTTATTTCGATGATGCTCATTTGTTGTGGTTGAATCTGGAAGGTAGATTTAGGCAGAGTAATTTGTCTAAAATCTATAGCGTTCAAGATCAATTGGATCGTTTACATCAAGGATCTTTAGATCTCAATGCTTATTACACTCGTCTTACTACATTATGGGAAGAGCTCAAGAACTTTGAGGAACTACCTTCCTGTACTTGTGGTAATTGCACCTGTGGATCTAATGATCGTTGGCTCAAACTCTATGAGCGACGTAATATTGTCCGATTCTTAATGCGTCTGAATGAGTCTTTCACTCAGACTAGACGTCAGATTCTCATGATGGATCCACTTCCAGATTTCACAAAGATTTACAACTTTGTTTCTCAAGATGAACAGCAACGAGGCTTAACTACATCACCTGTACCAGAGAATCCTGTTTTTCAAGCATCCATGGGTTATCAGAAATCAAAGAATCCTCATCAACAGGGACGTCCTCGTCCTCTCTGTACTCATTGTGGTTTGCTTGGACATACAGTTGCAAGATGCTATAAGTTGCATGGATATCCTCCAGGCTATAAGATTCCTCTTCCTTCTGGTTCTCAAGGTGATCCTTCTAAAGCAAAGTTTCCACAGCAGAATGGAATTCATATGGTTTATTCACAATCTCCAGAGCAGAATGTTTATCTTCAGTCTCCTGATCAACAACAACAGATGTTTTATGTTCCAAATCCACAGTTTCAAGCTCCAGTTCCGCAGAATCCGGTTTACTACACAGGTCAACCCTATACTGCTCATGCTGGCTCTCAAACTGGTCCTTTTGTCACTGCTGGACAGTCTTCTACTACTCCTGTTGTTAGTACTCCTGTTGTCAGTACTCCTCAGTTGACTAATCATTCTGTTAACATGGTTCATTCTGAAAGTGGTTTTGTTGCTGGTACTAGCTCACATGGTGGAAATCAAGTTTCTCAGGTGGTTACACAACTGAATAGACAACTTCAAGGTTCTCCGTATCAAGTCATATGTCCTCAGCCTGTTTCACAACATATTGGTTCAATCTCAGCACAAGGTATGCCTCTTGTACCTTGTCACTATATTTCTGCTTTCGAACCAGGCCTTATTATTCCACATAATGTCTGGATCTTAGATACTGGAGCTAGTTGTCATATCTGCTGTGACCTTAGTATGTTTTCTAATACCTACCGAGTTGAGCATACCACAATAAACCTTCCCAATAACACTCAAATCTCCATTAACACTGCTGGAACAATTAAGCTTAGTGATAGTCTCATTCTTCATCCTGTTTTTTATGTTCCTGATTTTCATTTTAATCTCATTAGCATTAGTTCTTTAACAAAAACAAATAAAAATCTTTCTGTTCATTTTTATCATGATTCTTGTTTAATTCAGGATCATACTCAGGCTTGGACGATTGGTAGAGGGGATCAATCCAATGATCTTTATCTCTTAAATTCACCACCTCCACCTGATAAAGATCAGCATCATCTTGCATTCATTACTGTCTCTCCTGAGCTTTGGCATCAGCGTCTTGGACATCCATCTCTTTCAAGAATTCAATCTGTTTCTTCCAATTTAAACATTCCTTCAAAAATTTCTGAATTTCATTGTAAGATTTGTCATATGTCAAAACAAAAACGCTTGCCTTTTATTTCCAATAATAAAATTTCTGAAGAACCTTTTTCTTTGATTCACATTGATGTTTGGGGTCCTTTTCATATAACTTCTGTCAAAGGTTTTCGATATTTCTTAACAATTGTTGATGATTGCACACGTTTTACTTGGCTTTATTTTCTTCAGTTAAAAAGTGATGTTTCAAAAGTTTTTCCAGATTTCTTGACATTAGTTCATAATCAATATGGTTTCAAAGTTAAAAGTATAAGATCTGATAATGCACCAGAATTACAATTCAAAGAATTATTAGCTAAACATGGCATTTTTCATTATCATTCTTGTGCATACACTCCTCAACAAAACTCTGTAGTAGAACGTAAACATCAGCATCTTCTGAATGTTGCTAGATCATTATATTTTCAATCAAACATTCCTCTTCCATATTGGCCAGAATGTGTTTCAACTGCAGCTTTCTTGATTAATAGAATTCCCACACCAGTTTTAAATGATAGGTCTCCTTTTGAGCTTTTAAACAAGAAGTTACCAGATTATACTATTCTTAGAGTCTTTGGTTGTCTTTCTTATGCATCTTCTCATCAGCATGATAGACATAAGTTTACAGAGAGAGCTAGAGCATGTGCATTCATTGGTTATGAACCCGGTTTTAAAGGTTACAAAGTTTTGGATCTTGAATCTAATACAATTTCAATTACTCGCAATGTTGTTTTCCATGAAACCATTTTTCCTTTTATTGATAATTCAGTTTCTCGCAGCATTTCTTTTTTTGATGATTCTATGCTTCCTGCTTCTGAACAACATTTAAAAGATTTGGAAAATTTAAAAGTCTATGATGATTTTACTACTTCTTTGGCTGAGAATGATCCTATCACTGATGCTAATACTGTTCTAGAGCACACACATACACGTAACACAAACACTTCAAATCAAAATGCTCAGACTCGGGATGGTATGGCTAACACACTCAGGCCTCGTAGAGAGACACGTGCTCCTAGTTATCTTTCACAGTACCATTGCTCTCTTATTACCAAAGAGCCTTCTCCTTCTCTTCATGGTACTGCTCATCCTCTCTCTGCTTATTTGTCCTACGATAAACTCTCTCATGAGTATCGTCTGTTCTGTTTTGCCATTATTTCTGAGAAAGAACCAAAATCCTTTAAAGAAGCAGTTTTGTTGAAACAATGGCTTGATGCGATGAACCTGGAGTTGGATGCTCTGGTGAGTACATCCACTTGGGAGATTTGTTCTTTACCTGATGGGAAACATGCTATTGGTTGCAAATGGGTGTATAAAATCAAATATAAATCTGATGGCTCTATTGAAAGATACAAAGCTCGCTTAGTTGCTAAGGGCTATACTCAACAAGAAGGTGTCGATTATATAGACACTTTTAGTCTTGTTGCTAAGCTTTCTTCTGTCAGATTAATGCTTGCTCTGTCTGCAATTCACAACTGGAGCATTAATCAGATGGATGTTACTAATGCATTCCTCCATGGTGATTTAGAAGAGGAGATTTATATGCATCTACCACAGGGTTATACACCAAGACAGGGGGAGATTTTACCAGAGAAACATGTCTGTCGTCTTGTAAAATCTTTATATGGTCTTAAGCAGGCTTCAAGACAATGGTTTCACAAGTTTTCTGGTGTTCTCCTGCAAAATGGTTTTCTTCAATCCTTCTTTGATCCGACTATGTTTGTCAGAGTCACTTCTGGTTGTTTTCTGGCACTATTGGTCTATGTGGATGATATAATGCTTGTCAGTAACAAGGACTCTGCAATAGTGGATATCAAACAGTTGCTAGCTAAAGAGTTCAAGATCAAAGATTTGGGGCAACTGCGATATTTTCTGGGATTGGAAGTTGCTAGATCCAAAGAAGGAATCTCTGTTTCACAGAGAAAATATGCATTGGAGTTACTTGAAGAATTTGGTTTTCTTGGTTATAAACCTGTACCAACACCAATGGAGCTCAATCTCAAATTAAGCCAGGAAACTGGTGACTTGCTTTCTGATCCTTCTCATTACAGGAAGCTCATTGGTAAGTTGGTCTATCTTACTGTCACAAGACCTGACATATGTTTCGCAGTCAACAAGTTGAGTCAATATATGAGTAATCCCCGAGCACCTCATCTTGTTGCTGCACATCGCATTCTGCGTTACTTGAAGAATGATCCAGGCCAAGGTGTGTTTTATCCAGTCACTTCTTCTCTTACACTTCGTGCATTTGCTGATGCTGATTGGAGCAACTGTCCTGAGAGTAGCAGATCGATTTCTGGCTATTGTGTGTTTCTTG